TACTTGTGTGTGATATTAATGATATTATTCCATAATTTCCACATTCTCTTGGATCACCTTTCTTTGGAATAGGCATAATTATGGATCTCTTCCAGTCAGTTGCCCAGATACCTGTATTCCAAATTTCTTGCATAGACGAGTGAGCACTTTTAGGGCTGCATCCATTTGTTGAAACATCTCAGATGGTATCCCATCAGTTCCTGGAGGCTTGTTTTTCACCAATGCCTTCACTGCAGCTTGGACTTCTTTTTCCATACCATTGGTTCCTGATCATATGCTACCTCCTGAAAACTAGCACAGATACAAATCCAAAGCTATTTGGAGTAAGTGTCTAAGCAAGAGAGAGTGAGGAGAGGCATGTCATCACAATAGAAATGACTAATGATATTGGATTTACAACAGGAGAGGGAGAAGGGGAGGATGGTATGAAACAGGATGCTGTAGTTATAGGGGGCAGCTACAAGGGGAATGCAGACCCTTGGGCCATTATGAGCATATATATACAGGAGAGGGTTACAAATGTCAACGTATCCATCCTAGGCCAAGGAGGACAGTAGCAACGACTCTGTTGCCATGAAGGTGAAGAAACAGCTTAACTGGAAAGAACATGCATTGAAAGATACAACATTTTCTTTGTACTAGAACTTTCTAAACATTTTGAGTTTAATGACAGAAGCATAGCAGAAATTGACAAAAGCCAGGTTGCTAAGGAAGAAGGACATTGGTGTGTTGAGTCTTACATCTGTTCTGATAACTAGGATCAAACTCAGATTGCCTACTACCATGAAAGGGTAGATGGATAAGAGTAGCCAAAAGAGGGACATCTTCAAGTACTGGCAATTTGTGAGGACCACAAGAATAAACTCTGTCTTCAATGGTGAAGTCACTTCCGAGGTTCACAGTTCAGCTGGGGGTTGGACAGCACCATAAAACAAAATGAGACTAATGAGGCACAGCAGCCCAGGGACAAGGACTAGAAGGCAGAAGGGGACAGGAAAGCTGGTGATAGGGAACCCAAGGTTGAGTAAGGACAGTGTTGACATGTAGTGGGGTTGTTAACCATTGTCATAGGGTAACGTGTGTGCTAACTATTCATTGAGAAACTATTTTGTTCTGTAAACCTTCATCTTAAGTGAGAATAGCGGCGCAACTGGTAGATCGTAATTGATGTCACTGAACTGTGCATGTAGAAATTTTTGAAATGGTATCTTTGTCTATGTATATTTTCACCAAAAAATAAAAAAAAGTCAAGAAGGGACACAGATGACATGTCATGGCGTTGTTAACCAATGTCATAAAACAATATGTGTACTGACTGTTTAACAAGAAACTATTTGTTCTGTAAACCTTCATCTAAAATACAATAAAATAAATAAATAAACTCTGTCACCTGAGTGCAGATTTATCTGAGTCATGTAGTTCTTCCTTGGTTCTGGTGAAGGAAGAAGAGAGGGGAGAATTTTGTCCAGGTTGCCAATTCTATAAACACAATCTTATTCAGTAGAATCTTGAAAGAAAGTTTTTGTTGTCAATATGGAATTTCTAATAGAGTCACTGTTGGTATATTGGGAGACTGGGGAAGGGACGTATAACACGAAGAGATTGTACGAAAGGCCCACTCCTCTTTCCCCATAACCATTGGATCTGCACAGTTAAGAACTGTAGAACACAAAGTCATTTCACATTACTTGGTCTCTGTTCAAAGATCATGTGCATTATATTATTTAAAAATAACCTGACTTTTTTCAAAAGAGGTAAACTATTGGTTTTGCTTTTAAAGAAATGTCACATTAATAACAGAAAGGAAGACACGTCTTTGGCAGTGGTTCCTCTCTGACAGATGTGTCATCGTTCCTGTGTAGACACAAATTCATACAGTTGCAATGGTGTTAATAGGACAAGATGCATTTCTGTGAAGATCAATCTCATTTGCAATGAGAGATATGTGTAAAAAAATTTCAGATCTATATTGGGAATTAATGTAAGAGCATAGTAGAAAGACCTTGATTAATTGTGTGCTTTAGGAATTTAATTTGTTTATATCACTTTCTAGCTATGTTAATTCTAGACCCTGGTGAATTACGCATTCAGTTTCTCAGTCTCCCCATCCGTGAAATGTGTGAGTACGTATCTTAAAGGGTTGTTGTGAGGAGAAAAGGATATTACTTATGCACATCACATATCACCACATGTAAATATTAAGCTAGAATACCCATGTTAAGGAAACTTTGCCACCCTGATACACTGAAAGCTTATGTCTACAAGAGAGTCAAAGCAATCATTGTTCAAATTAGTTGGTAGCTAGTGCAGGCAGAAATCTAACAATGAGAAACCTGGCACCCACCATCTGCCATCCACTTACTTAATCATTAAATTTCAGCATACATGTATAATGGTTGCAGAATTGTTAACCTGTACTCCCACGAGAAACAACTTTGTAAACTAGAATACATTATTATACGCAATTGTTTTTGCCTTTAGTCTTAACACGTTCCACTCATTTCCAAAGTTAATTTGGTCAGCATCTTTTCAACCACCCAATTCAGTGAGATTGGTCCATGCGTTTGTAATACAGTGAGATTGTCTTGCCATATTCTGCATTCCATTCTGAGATCTTCTGACCTCCTAAATGATTTATTTTGAAGTTTGCATTCATTAAGGTTTACTCTTTATTCTGTAAAATTCTGTGAGTTTTGTCAAGTGCACAGTGTCATGTAACCATCATGAAATTATCATGCAGAATCGACTCGCTGCCCTAAAACATCCCGTTTGCTTTACATAGTTGACTTTTCCCTTCCACCACCCATGGCAACACTGATTAATTTATTGTCACTATGGTTTTGGCATTTCCAGAATGTCAAGTAGTTGGAATCACAGAGTATGTACCTTTTTCTGGGTAGCTTCTGTCATTAATCAATATGCATTTAAGATCTAGCCATGTCTTTGCATGGATGGATAGCTCATTCTTTTTTTTTAATCACTAAATAGTACTCCATTTATGGGTGTGCCACAGTTCTTTATTCATTCACCTATTGAAAGAAATCTTGATTGCTTCTAGTTTTTTCTTAAGTATGAATAAAGCTGCTATAAATATTATCATACAGTTTTTTGTGTGGACATAGTTTTCAAATCAGTTGAGTAAATACCTAGGAATGTGATTGCTGGAACATACAGTAAGATTATGTTCATGTTTAAGAGAATCTGCCAATTTGTCTTCCAAAGTTACTGCACCACTGTGTATTCCTGCCAGTAATGAATGAGGGTTCCTGTTGCTCCACATCCTCCCCATAATTGATATCATCAGGTTTTGTTTTGCTTTTGGATTTTAGCTATTCTAATATATTCTAATAATCAAATATTTTAATGCTTTGAACCTTTTTTCATCACAAGACATAATATTCAGGAAAAGAAATAAGATAATATAGAATATAGAAATTATACTACTGTTTAACTTAGGTTCTCCAGCCAGGAGCCCCAAAGACAAAAATTTGTGTGAAAGCAATTTATGAGGAATTTTTCCTACTAAACAACCATGGAGCTTGTTAGGAGTTGGAACTGGCAAGGGAAATAGTCCACACAGGTAGCAGTATCAAAGTCCTATGAAGGGTAACTTTGGTTATATCCCAGAGGGGAGAAAGGTAGTAATTCAGAATTACTCTGTGAAGAACTTGGTAAATCTCACCACAGTGAGAGAATTTACTCTGCTCATTTTTAAAACTTATTATAAAATTAGAATAGATGAGATAGCATATCATTGACATAAACATAGATACAAAGATCAGTTGAACTGAATTTAGAGCCCAGAAATAACGTTTTATATTTATGGGCAATTTCTTTTTGGCAAGGATGTCAAGAAAATTCTGTGGTGAGTTTTTAGTCTTTGCATGAGGTGGTCCTGTGACAACTGGATATTGATATGTGGGAAAAAAAATTAGACCCTGGCCTTCACTTTTACAGACAAATTTAATTGAATGGATTATAGGCATGAAAGTTAAGCATCAAAACTATAAAAATTCTAGATGTAAATGTAAGAGAAATATTTTATGATCTCCCATTAGGTGAAGATTTTATAGATATAATACCAAAAAAGTCCCATTTAAGGGGGAAAAAATGAACATTATCAGTGATAAAGACTTTTGATGTTGAAAATCTACCACTTAGAAAATGAAAAGAGAAGTCATAGAATGGGAGAAAGCATTTGCAAATCACATATCTGATAAAGGCCTAATATCCAAAATATATAAAAACTGTTACAACTCAGTAATGAGAAGACAAATAGTTCAATTTAAAAATGAGTAAAATATTCAAATACATATTTTACCAAAGAAAACATGAAAATAACTAAGAAACACCTAAACTGCATGAAATGATGCACGAAATCATTAGCCACTAGGAAAATTCAAATAATAACCACATCAAAGTACCACTACACACCCACTCAAAAGGCTCAAATCAAAACAGCTGAGAACATCAGGTTGAAAAGTAGGTGAAAATACTGGAATGCTCATATAAAAAAGCAAACAACAACAAAAAAATAACGCTGCCATCGAGTCTATTCCAACTCATAGCAAACCCCCCTATATGATGGGGGAAACTTTGGAAAAATTTTCTGGCATATTCTTAAAAGGATTAATATAGACATAGCGATTGTCCCACCAATTCTCCTTCTAGGTATCTACCCAAAAGAAACGAAAAGTTATATAATCACATGAGACTGCTACTCAAAGGTTCATTGCAGAATTATTTGTAATTGCCAAAAATTGGAACTGATCAAAATGTCAATCAAATGGTAAATAAATAAATAAAACGTAGTATATCCATTAAAATTAAAAAAGAAGCAAAATTCCGATACATATTTCAACATGGAAGAAATGCAAATATTAAAGAAACCAGACACAGATGACTACATGTTGTATGATTCCATGTATATGAAAATTCTCATTACATTAATAACCTGCAACCTACGTGAACCATCTCATTATTACTGAAATAGTCAAAAATTACTCTAGTTTAAAGGAATAGCATGGGTTTGGTGGGAATCTCTTGAAGGCAGCTATCACATCCTTATTCCTCAAGCTGTAGATCATAGGGTTCAGCATAGGGATCACTAGTGTATAAAACACTGAAGCCATTTTATCAGTATCTAATGAATGGTCAGTTTTAGGCTGCAAATACATGAATAGCAGTGTCCCATAGAACACTGTGACAGCCGTCATATGTGAAGCACAGGTGGAAAAGGCTTTTTTCCTTCCTTCCGGCGAATGTATTCTGAGAATGGACAAGACGATGTTGAAATAGGATACTAGAACTATAATCACAGAGAGAACTAAATTTGTAGCTGCAGAAATAAAGACTACTGTTTCTGGGAAGTAAGTGTCAGAGCAGGATAATGCTAACAGGGGAACAATGTCGCAGTAAAAATGGTTGATGACATTGGAAGAGCAGTAAGACATAGAGAATACACAAGAAGGAACCACAATAGCTGTAGAAAAGCCATAGACGTATGCAATGGATACCAGCAGAAGGCAGATCTGTGGAGAAACCACCACCATATAGAGTAGGGGGTTACAAATGGCCACACAGCGGTCATAGGCCATCACAGCCAGCATGAAAACCTCAGCTACAATGAAAAACAAGAACCCCCCCATTTGGGTGGCACATTCATAATAAAAGGTGGTTTTCTTCTTTACTAAGAAATTGGTCAGCATTTTAGGGGCAATGACGGTAGAATTGCCCAAATTGATGATAGCCAAATGTCGGAGGAAAAAGTACATGGGGGTTTGAAGGCGAGAGTCCACACTGGTGAGGGTAATGATGCCCAGGTTCCCTACCACGGTCAGCCCATAGATCACCAGGAAGACAAAGAAAAGGGGGATCTGGAGCTCCGGACGGTCTGAGACTCCCATAAAAATGAACTCAGTCACCCGGGTGATGTTTTCAGGAGCTGTGTAAGTTTGGAAATTCATCTGTTTGGAGAATAAACGGAAAAAGTGTTACAAGCTTTAAGGAATTATTTTCTAGGACTGCCATTAGATGGCAAAGATAATTGCTTGGGTGAGATTTTCTTGAGTCGTGTATTATTCTAAGTCAGGTTTTGAAATCAAGCCTCTAGTTCTGATGGAAAACATTCTAGGTATTGTTTCAACTTTACTCTTCCACGAATCATAATCTTATTCTTCTCCTATACATTTCTGCAGTCATTTGGGACAGAGAACGTAGAAGTATGGTAAATTTAAGACACAATCCAGCATCTTGCACTATTTTGAAGACGTTCACTTCCTCGCAATATTATTAAAATTTGAATATTGTGCTTACTTGCAAAGGTTTGAAACTATAATTAATATCTTAAGTCTCCCAATTGCATTTGAGAAAGGCTTGAGACATTGTTTGTTCCCTGATAATTTAGTGATTCTTGTGATTTTTAATCTGAATTTTCATGCTATTTATTAAGCATAGACAATCCTAGGCACTACCCTGACCTAGTCTCTTTAGTCTATCATTTTATAACTTCTATTAGATTTATGTTGAACTTGCTAATTCTATCATCCATAGAAGTTAACTGTTTTTTTTTCTCATTTTTTATTTCATTACCTCTGACAAAAATGTATGAAGTTACATCCTCAGATCTGTTTTTCATATCACCAATAATCTCTTAAGTTTCGTTTTTTAATGATATCTGTCAATTTTTAAAAATCATTTCTATAATTGCTTTCCATTGTAATATACTGTATACCATCATTTTTTCCTTCTCTTTCATGACTTTTTCTCTTCATTCTCCCAAGTTTATGCAATTTCTTGTATTTTTTCTACAGTATTTTTATTTTGGATTACTATTTTTATTCAGTGATTAGAAATAAAAAACAGTGGAGTGAATATGAAGAATAAACTTAATTTTTCGTATCTTGATCTTTTTTTCACATATGACATATACTTGCCAAAGAAGCAGAATGTTATTATAATATTGTAAATATTCTCCTAGAGTTATATATTTCAAGGATGGTCGCCTACCCCTAACTAAGCCAATTGGAGTCTCTTCCCAGTCACAGTTGATAGTTCCTGTGGCCCAAAGAAGTCCCACCACAGCATTTGGACTTAAGTTCTAGAAAGTCAAGGCTATAAAATTAGAGTCTGAACTGTAAAATCCCAGAACTGTTGAAAGTAGTATCTTTCTTGACCCTGCTCCATTCTTTTACTCTCTCCTTATATAGATAATGAAATTGCAATAAAAATATAAATTAATTCTAAAGTGAGAAAAAAAGAAAAAGCCATGTAAAAGAATCAGAGGAATAAAACCAAAATAAATCCTCACAGTTTTAAGTATTTGGTGCCTGTTTGTTTCTTAAACCCAACATCATTCTTTTACTTGATTTCTTTGAAACGCTCTTCTTCACGTATTTGTCAAATATTTGTTGAGTTTCTCTCAGTGCCAGGCCACGTTCAATCTGTAGATGGACCTTTCATTCTAATGATGAGCAACAGACATAAAGCTGGTAAGGAAATATATAAACAGGATACTTTAAGACTGTGATAGTACAATAAGTAAATTTAACAAGAAGATATTTTGGGAGAACCTGGGAGAAATACTTTATATGTGATATTAAGAGAAAGACTTTCTGAAAAGATGACATTTGAACTGAAATCAAAAATGAGAAGGAACCAGCTATGTAAGGAATTAGACAAAGAAAGCAGGTGGGTATTCTTAAAAATTTTCTGTGAGAGAAAATAATTTAGGTGTTTGCTTTTTTTTTTGCATTGGGGGTATGGTTACATAATTGAGGTGACTGAATTATAATGAGACAACTGAAAAATTAAAGTAGGATCAGATGATGTAGTGAGACATTGGTGATTTAATGGTAGAATTCTTGCCTTCTGTATAGGAGACCAAGGTTTGATCCCCATCTAGTCACCTCAAGCACAGCCACCACCCTTCTGTCAATGGAGGCTTGCATGGTTATGATGCTGATCAGGATTCAGAGGATCGTCCAGACTAAGATGTGCTAGGAAGAAAGGCCTAGTGACGTACTTCTACAACTCAGCCAATAAAAACCAGAGGGATCACAAAGGTTGGAACTGCAACTGATCAGGCAGTATTTCCGTCCTAGCTGGGGCCAACCCAGGGATAGCTAACAGTGACAACAGATAATGTAGTTTACAAAATAAAAAAAAAAAAAATGATTTTAATCTAGGTGAATTTTAAGCCACTGTGAAGTTTTAATTTATGTGTATAAACTGATCAGCTTTAAGTTTTAAAAATGCTGTAAAATCTGGAAAAGCCAGAATCCAACAGGACTGTCTCATTTTTCTGGGACTTGAAGGCATCTGCCTTTGACAGGGTGCTTACTATCGCTCTCATTAAGAATCCTACCTTATTTTAGTGTTGAGTTTTCTTCTCTGACAGGTTTCCACCTTACACATCTTCTGATATTCTGGCAGATTTTACTATATTATTTTGGCTTTTAGGAAGATAATGAACTGTAGGATCAGAGTAAAGAATCAAGGCGAGACATTACTATAAGATTACTGGTGAACGAGAGTGTTGGCTTGGTTCAAAGTGGATGAGCTGAAGACAGAAGGAGGTAAATTTGACAGATGGAGTAAAAACAAGATGCCCTCTTCAACATAACCCATACAATTGATTATATATATATATATGAGAGACATGAATGAATGAAGGTGGGGGTAGGTTAAGGAAGACTTTTGTGTTTTTGGCTTTTCCAACTGGATGAATGGTCATGATATATTTGAATATTAGAAAAACTGGTTTAAGGTAGGGTTGATCAAAGTGATAAACATATTTTGGGTGCCTATGAGACATTTAAGCAATCATCTAAGGAAGCTAATATTTACGTGCGGAGAACAAGGGTGTGGTTAGACTGTAGGTATTGGAGAAAATTCAGTCTAGGTTATTGTCTCAATTATTTAGTGCTGCTATAACAGATATACCACAAGTGGACGGCTGTAACAAACAAAAATTTATTTTCTAACAATTTAGACGGCTAGACGTCTGAATTCAGGGTGCTGGCTCTGGGGGAAGACTTTCTCTCTCTGTTGGCTCTGGGTCAATGTCTTTGTCTCTTCATCTTCTGTTTCCTGGTTCCTTGGAGATCTCCCTGTAGCTTGGCATCTATCTTCCCCCATCTCTGCTTGCTTATCTGCTCCTTTTCTGTTTTGTAAGCGTTTGACTCAAGACACACCCTACACTAATGCTGTCACATGAAGTACCAAAGGCAACCCATTCCCAATGGGCTTATAACCACAGGCATAAAGGCTAGGATTTACAACACATACTTTTGGGGGATATAATTCAATACATAACAGTGAAGATATAGTATTTTTTTATCATCTATGTCAAGTTTTGATTTTTGTTATATATAGACAAAAATTCCTAACGTGTTCTTTAAACAATCTGAAGCCTTTTTCACTGAGGGTCAACTCTTGGTTTTTGAGATTCTGGTATTCTTGTATCATGTTTGACAGCCTATGATCCCCAAACAGATACAAAGCCTGGAAACAAACCTTAGTTTAAGCATTATATTATTTGATCAAACTTAATACCCAGTGTTTTCTGAAAAGTAAATTGAAATGGCTCTTTTTAAGATATAGGATTTGGATATTTTAAAGCCAATTATACAAAAATGAGATAAATATTTTCTACCCACCTCTAATGGAAAACCTCCTTCTGGTTCTTAGAGAGCATTACTCTATGCCTTCGACAGTGAGAGGTGGTGGGCTCTATAAAACTCTGAGACCTTATCTCTGAAGCACAGGTGATGCTCGGATCCACAAATGGTCTGTTATCTCCTTGGGAAAGGGGCCACCAGGGATTGGTTCCTTAACAAGATTTGCTGCAAAGTAGCCCCAAAGACAGCCTGGGCCTATGTTATTGAAGTGAGTTGAACTCCATGGCATCTATGGGACACAGTGATTAAAGTCTGTCTCCCAAAGTAGCTCATTTGCATTCAGAGATTTATTATTGCAAACATGGAGTATAGAAGGGCTAAGAACCAAAGGTCTAGCAGTCAGATTAGAACACACCATATTGGAGCTCTGGTAGCATAATGGGCTGCCAGAAGATCAGCAGTTTGAAGCCACCAGCTGCTCCTTAAAAACCCTATGGGACAGTTCTACTCCGTCCTACATGGTGGCTATGAGTTGGAATTGATTTGATGGCATTTTTTTTTTTTTTTTTAAATCTGTACAGCTATCTAGTGAATCTGGTGCAAATAATGTTTTAATTACGCCATTATCTTTTTTTTCCCCCTTCTTTTACCTGAAAGAACAGAGTTATCATAGTCATTAATTCAAGCAATGAAGTGGAGGATGCAACCTTCAAAAAACAATCTTAATAAAAATATTACTTATTCTTTTCTTTGCTCTTGTATTTCAGGTGAGAGAAAGGTAGAGAAAAAGGTAGTTATCCAGAAAATATTTACTGGAGAAGAGTAAAACATGGTATTTAAAAATGAAGCATTTTTCTTATGTTTGAATATGAAATTTCTGGAGCTACAAACTTGTTTTTTTTTTTAACATTGAAGCTTTTGAATATATTTTATTCATGTCATGACTAATAGAATTACGTTGAAGAGAATTGTTACTGAGACACTGCTCTTTTATTGGGCTTAAGTCTTCTTTACAGCAAAGTTTCCTTTTTTATCACATGGTGGTCCACTTGTGACACTGCAGGCCTTAAATTTAAAACTGGAAGTTAAGATATATGTCATGGTGCCATTTATATAAAGTATAAATTCATGTGCATAGAACAATAATATTCATTTTGTTAGAAAACAAATAGAACCATCTTAAATTAATTGAGACGTTTACCTGAAGTGGCAGAAAGAACTGGATAAAGGAATAAAGATTAAAAAAAAGGGGGAGGAGGAAAGTGAGGGGCATTGCTTGGACCAATAATGAAAATGTGCCATGAACTGAAGAACATATCATTTCAAACCTTTTTCCTGAGGTCCGAAAACAGTTGAAAAGGTGTGTATCTTCATTAACGTATAAAATCGGCTTCTAGAGATCTGTTCTGCAGAAGTAATACAAGTTACTAAATATACAAATGGCAATCTGCATGAGATCATAGTTCAGTATGGTGAAATAATGGAAACAAGTTAACTATACATCATAGAAATTTATTA